TTACACGTTGTTTGCACCTAGTAATCCTTCAAACTCACAAAAAAGTCACACAGTACTTATTTTTGAGTTTGTATAAGTAGGCATAGATAAAAAAATCGAAAATCCGACCAAACCAATCAAATTGAATCGGCTCGGATCGGTTTGACACAGGTAATTGGTTTGGTTTAGGTTTCTTTTTTACAAAATCATGGTGGATCGATTCAGCTATGGTTAGCCTCAAACTGCTGGTTAACTGAACAAACCCAACCTACTTACACATTTACCTTTTTTATTATTTTTTTAAGAAAAAAAAAATCAAAAGATTAGCCATAATCTCATAAGTATATCTCGATTCCCTTCGTCTATGATGTTGCCAGTAAGTATTGGCATCGGAAATTTCCATTCACAAGCTCGTTAAGTTATACTTAGCATTTTTTCCCTACTCACGCAGGCTAAATAATGCATAAAAAAACAACAAAATTCTTATGTTTTCTGTAGATTTATCTCTATTAACCTAATTTTATTTGTTAGTCAATAGTTCCTGTAATATAAAATTATTTAGTTATTTTAGTTCTTGTTATTTAAGTGGGCTCAAAATCCAGACAATTTTTTTTAAAAAAAAATTCAATTTGGACAAAAGTTCAAACCGACTAACCGAACCAAACCAATGGTTCGGTTAAAGAGCTAAAGGGAGTTGGATTGGGTTGAAATTCATTCAAACCAACTAATTTGGGTTTGGTTTCGGATTGGAGTCGAAACCGACCCAAACCAAACCACGCCCAAGCCTATGTTTAAGTACTTATTGGTGAAAATTAAGGGTAAAGTAATCTAATAGGAAGGGCAAGTCTATTTTTGGACCCAAGCAAGCAAATAATAATGTCTTCCCTCCTAAACCATTTGGGCTGGGATCAAGAAGAAAAATAAGGAACAAACACATGCATGATATTGCAAGAAAAGCTACGTATAAGTTGAATATCCAAAATAAGCTCATAATTTATGCTTAGAATGTGTGGAAATGATCCTTTCTTGTATACTTGAGGGTTCAACAAGGAAAAGGTGAGGGTTCAAACAGATCATAATTCCAGCCATGTAACCATAAGTGGGGGAAGGAAGGGGAATGA